AACCGTTTATTTAGCTAAAAAATGTACAGATCAGCAGTTTGTCTGTGTTCAGCGGGGTGGTTCTACAGATCTGGGTCAGGCTCAGTTGATCTTTACTGTGGTTCTTGATGTGCCTGCAGTTGGCTTCTGGGTCAGCTTGCTGGCTGGTTAATGGAGATGTGGCCTTGTAGTTCTTCCAGTGAAGAACTGGGCTCATTTACATCAAGGTGGTGCTGTCCACTCAGCAAGCCAGCAAGCACCAATCCAGAAGTGTTTTTCAATTCAATATGTCTTATAGTACATTTGCTAATGACCCACTGGTCAAAACAAGTCATATGGCCAGTTGAGGTTAAAGAGTGAGTGAAGAAAAGGACTTTGCCTTTCTTATAAAAAGAGTAGAAAAATGTGGGTATTTTTACAGCCCACTACATGATAGTTATTACTTTTTAAAGATTGTAAGTATTCTGCTTTTAGGATGAGCGAATCAGGGGAAAAAAAAAGATGGATACACAGCTTATGCGGGTGGGGGGAGGGCGGGGGTGGACTGAAGAAATGGGATTCCAGAGAAAACAAAAGCTGCTGGAATGCAGAGCACAGTGGGGAATTTTCATTTAAAAAGGGAAAGTCCATTATAGTTCCATAGAATGAATGAAAGGGGAGAAAGAAAGTTCTAGAAACATTTAATTTTCCTGGTAATCTCAATTTTCCTTGTGTAAAAATAATCTAGATCATCTAATGAACACAGTGAGGGTGGTGCTGGGAAAAGGGTTTGTGGAGAATGTTAACTTTGTTGAAGGCTTGTTGAACAGGAAACTTGAGGGCAAAATATAAGAGAAGAAAACAATCCCAGACAATCCACACAAAAGGTGAGTGGTACACAGCCCTACTGAGATTTACAAAGCTTACATTATATTGGTGTCCATCCACAGTGCTTTACCAGCGCACGGGTGAATTAGAGACAGGGACCCCCTCTGCCTCATTCAGGAAAGGTCTGTCTCACTCTCAGCTGATACCCTTATGCAGGACAAACTCATAAATAAGTGCAGTGGCCCTGCCAATCGACAGGATTATGTTAGATTTTTAAAATAGCAGCTTTAAGTAAACTAGATCTAGGAACATAAGGCAGTTGGTGGGACAGATTTAAGAATAACAATTTGCCAAGTGGATCTGCAAAAGAACAAGACAGAATGTTGACAGTAACTGCAAAAGGTTGAGATTAAAAAAGTATTTTTAAAACCTAAAATGCAAACTAGCAGGGGTTGAGGGAGATGAGACTGGGTCGTAAGAGAAGGGCTCTGTTGTGAAGGAACAGTTGGTTCATGGTAGATATGGGGAGGTGTTGATGACACTATGAATGTCCATCTGTGAGAAGAGGACAGAGCAGTAGGTATGTTTGGGAGACCTAGCTCTTATAGTGTAAGGACTGCATTTGAGGACATGGGAGAATCAGAAGTTTCCGCCTTGCATGACTGTTATCAATTGAGGGGAAAGAGTACAGCTATATATATGGACCAACTTGGTTCAAATCTTGGTAGCTATTCAGAACACAGGCGACAGATCAGGCACTCTGGCTTTGAGTCTGATGTTTCAGAATCCATGGACACACTGGGAAAAAACTGAATATACACAGAAGCAGTTAATTTTATTTGTTTAATTTCTATTGAAGTATTGTTTATTTACAATGCTGTGTTAACTTCTACAGTACAGCAAAATGATTCAATTATACATATATATATATATATACACATTTTTTCATATTCTTTTTCTTTATGGCTTATGATAGGATACTGAATATAGTTCTCTGTGCTATATAGTTGGATCTTGTTTATCCATCCTACATGTAATAGTTTGTATCTGCTAACTTCAGTCTCCCACTCATCTCTCCCCCAAACCTTTTTCCCTTGGCAACCTCAAGTCTATTTTCTATGTCTGTGAGTCTGTTTCTTTTTCGAAGTTAGGTTCACTTGTGTCGTATTTTAGATTCCACATGTAAGTGATACCATATGGTATTATCTTTCTTTTTCTGACTTACTTTGCTTAGTATGACAGTCTCTGGTTGCATCCATGTTGCTGCAAATGGTGTTATTTTGTCCTTTTTATGGTTAAGTAGTATTCCATTTTACGTGTGTATCACGTCTTCTTTACCCATTCATCTGCTGAAGGACGTTTAGGTTGTTTCCATATGTTGGCTATTGTGAAAAGTGTTGAGAAACAGTTAATTTTAGACTTACTAAAATGACAGGGCAACTCTATTACAGAGATTGGTTGTTCAAATTACTGATAATCTCTGTTATGTAGGATCCAAGGGTGGATTTAGGATTAAGACCATCCACCTGATGAGAGCAGAACATTGCAAGCATCCTCTGTTACAAAGATTATTGTGAATGTATTCAGAGCTCAGGATAGTTTTTCTAGGAGAAAGCTTTGAAAATGATTTTGAAGTAGGTGTCTGGTAAGGGGGTCTCAAGGAGTCAGAAGAGAGCTGGGGATGAGAGAACATGGCCAGCAGTGTTTTTAGAGAAGTTTCTGAAGCAAAGGCATCAAAAAAGGTCAGGTTAGAAAATAAATGGAGGAGAAGACAGAGAACAGGCTTGAGAGAGAAGGAATTAGTGCATCAGTAACAAACCTAGAGAACAGAACAGAGGGTATTAATGTGAGAGGATGAAGGGGTTGAAATAACTTGCAGGCATCTTAGAGAAGTGTATTATCCCCTGTAAGGGGTTTACAGGTGAGAAATAAAATAAAAGGCCTATTCTGAGTAAGTTGACTAAATTTTGACAGGTATCCATCCTTTCTTTCTGCATAAAATTATTCATGTCTAATAAAAATAAATGGAAAAAAATTATTCATGTCTTTATACCCTCTTTTTTTTTTTTTAAACTTATTAATAAGAGGAACTCAAGAAATGAGTTTTTCGTTACAAAAGGCACTCTCCTCTCCTGGGAATTTTATAAGAATATGGTACCACATTTTAATTTTAGTATAAATTAGGATAATATAAAATTAGAAAAATATATTGCAAATGCTTATTAATACATTTATTAGAAAACTATAATAAAAACACTCTTAGACTCTTCAAAATCTTTCTCTTTGAACTTAGTTCTTCAGTAATCAAGTTTTAGAATTACTTATATTAGGTAAGACAGGACTTCATGCAATAGAATGTTTGGTAATTAGAAGCCATGGTCTTGAGGAAGTTGGAGAGAAGAGTCTTTTCTTTTGATGAGACCCTCAAAATCACAGTCCTGTGATTTTAACAGGACAATCAGGATGAATTAGTGAGTTTGTTATATAATATGAAGTTATTTGGAAACATGGCTGAAAAGGTAATGGGATTTTTGTGGCTGTGATTAATTTAAATTTTTTTATACCAAAAGCTATGGCATAACATAAAAAGAGACTCTACATAGTCTTGAAATTTCTTCATTCCTTCTGTGAGAAGAGATCAATCATTGGAAACAGAGAAAAACTTTCACTTACAGCTAATCTTATGAGTTGGTTTTACAATCACTGGATAAGCAGAATTGTTTCTATGTAAAACATGTGTGAGGAGGTTGTTAAACTTTCTATCTCAATTTTATTGAATTCTGCTTGATTTTCAATTATCCCTGATTTTCAGATATTCTGGGTTACATGCCAAAATTACTCAAAAATTATTTATGTGGCAAGAATTCTGTGTTGCAAATTTACAAACAAATTTACATATGAAAAGAAAGGAATATTTTGGATGCATTAGTTCAGAAACATATATAAGTTTTGGATGAGTTGTTTACATTTATCAGTTTTAAATATTTTTAGGACTCAAAGCTCTGATGTGAAAATCTTTGCATTCGGTCTGATGGGCACCTTTTTAACATGTTAAAAAGCAAAATCAAGAAATATCTTTTACTGAGTTTATAAATGAAGCTCTTGCTAAGTTAATTATTATGGTTGTAAGCTTTTCTGATATATACTGCAATATATATTATTATATATTATATATACAAATATAACAATAAATATTTATTAATGTTTTCAATAACAGATATTTTCTAAATTCTTTTTTGGTACAAATATTTTCCTTTTTATGGACTGATAGACTCCAATCAATAATTTTGAAAGGAAACCACTCTTTAAAAGATTTGGCTTTAGAATAATTTATAATTTCAGTACTTATCCTAAAATACTGGATAATTTTAAAAAATAGCACAAGAATACAGATACCCAGTTATTTTATGGGCTCTCCCTAACCACTTTGGGACATTATTTCTTTATTTTCTTTTTATTTGATGTGGATTGGTGAATTGCATTGTTTCAGGCAGAATGCATTTGTAATACTCTACTTATCTATTCATTCCTTCCAGCATAACTCACATCATTTGTTAACTGTTCATTCTGACAAGTAATTAGGAAAAATATTTTTCATAAGCTAAAACTCCATCCCTATTTCACCCTTGGCTTTCATTCTCAATTTATCACTGTATAGTGATGTTGGGTGCTGTATCTTTTGAATTCTGGGCATTATTTTCAGGTTTACAGTGTGTAGGAAAAGTCTTAAGTTTTTAGAATTTTAAACAAAGTGTGTTAAACTTTTGAAAGATTGTAATCATTTTTATCATATTATGGCTTATAGTCTTACAATGGAAGAAAAGCTATTTCCTTTCCGAAGTGCATTTTGAAATTTATATTAATGATGATTTAAATCTTTTCAAATCACCCAATTCCAAAAGAAGATAACTCTTTTAGATTTTGTCAATGAATTACTTTCCAAAGGGAGACATGCAAATACAATTTTATATTGATGTTTATTGCGGGGAATCAATGAGATCTAGTGTCTAAGAGTTCACCATTTATTTATATTTTATTTCAAATTCAAAGAGACGCCTCATTAGCAAAACTGAGTTTCTTCCATTTTGGGGGAGGTTTAAGGGCTTCCTTGTGTAAACGAATAGGACTGTTTGCATACACTCACGAGTGGCAAGAATGCTTTGACAGTTTCACAAATGATGTCCTATGACCCTGTCTATTTCTCTTTCCTCTAGTTAACTTCTCCCACTGCCTCTGAGCAGCTTGCCTGTAAACCACCTGCTTTCTCCTTTGTTTCTCCAACTAATCAGAAAACACCACCTGCCCCAGGCGACCTCGCCGGCGCCTCTGTCCTGGAGGAGTTCCACTCGAGGAGGCTGGATACCCGTGGGGCCCTGGTGGAAGAAACAACCACGTACTTTCAAACTTCCGCTCACTCTGCACCCTTTTTTGCACCGAAGGGCACGTCCTCGACGTCACAGGTCCCCCAGTCCGCTCAGTTATCAGGTTCTCCTTCATCCCGTCCAAGCGCAGCACAGCAAAACCCGGGGCAGCCTTCCGAAGTCCTCAAGAAGACGGTCACCTCGAACGTCCTTAGTCCCAAAGAGAGTCCGAGAGCCTCTTCTCCTTCACCAGCCTCCGGTGCTTCTCTGAAGTCGGGTGCAGCCTCCTACATCCCAGTCCGCATCGTCACGCACTCGCTCTCGCCGAGTCCCAAAGCTTTCCCCGCCCCTTTCCACGGCTCTTCCTCCACGGTCTGTAGCCAAGCGTCCTCCAGCGCGAGCCTCTCAAGGCCAGGGGTGAAACCCCTGGTGCCCTCCAGGCTTTCGGTTCTCACTGCCATCCTCAAGTCCAACCCTTCCCACCAAAGGCCCCTTTCCCCGGCCTCCTGTCCCACCTTCTCTCTCAACTCCCTGGCTTCCTCCACGCTCACGCTTGATCAAAAAGCCAAACAAACCCCACCCACACCTAAGAAATCCCTCTCAAGTTGCTCCCTGCGATCGGGGTCTCCCGAGCAAAGGGAAAACCCGGTTTCCCACCTCAGCCAGCCATCCTTCCCCTTTTCTTCTCCCACCAAAGCTGCTCCCTCTCCCCAGGCATCGGCCCCTTCTCCCCCAAAACAGGGCAGTAGCAGCTTCGCTTCTGTGATTGTAGAGAAAATGCCATCCCCGACTCTGAAGAGCAGCCCAGTGACTTCCCAGCTGCAGACCGGTACCTCCAGCTCCGTGGGTCTGCCTCCCGTCCCTCCAAGCTTTTCTCCTCTGTCTTCCAAAGGCAGACAGGATGCTGACCCCAGAGGCCCGGGAAAGCCCAGGGATATCTGCTCGCATGCTTCTGCATCACCTTCCTCCACATCGTCTTCTGTGTCTCCTCCCACTAACCCAAGGGCCAGGCTCTCCTCACCAGAGAGACTCTACCATCCGTCCCCAGCTCTTTCAAACCTGATAAACCGATCCAGGAGCGCACAAGCGCTGGCCTCTGGCCAAGGGCAGACTCCGTCTACTCCGCGCCCAGCCCCTGTCTCCAGCTCCAGCTCTGCCTCTCTTCCCCGTCTGGGGCCCTCTGCTCTCCCCCTGGCTAATCCTCCCACAAAAGCACGCCAGCTCAGCCCCTCCGCGCTGCGCCCAGATCTTAGCCCGCCTTCAAGACTTGGGAAACCCGAAAGCTCTGTATCTGAGCACAGGTCATCTGTCTCAGCCCCGTCACCTCCCTTCTCTCTAACAAGAACCCAGGAGCTGAGTTCACCTTGTACATTGTCCATGTCAGCAGGCCCTGAGAATAAGAAACCCAAGGTATTTCTTTTGCACGTTGCATGGTGCATGCTGCTTTTGAAATACAGAAGAATTTTTTTTTCCAGGGGAAAATCAATGATTATGATATTCATTCTGCTCCTACAAGGAGGTAGTGCAAGAGGATATAAGACTTGGTATATTTGAATGTGTGGATGAACTATAATCTGTTTAAAATTGTGCATGTTTCTGAAAACCTCTTTGATTTTGCAAATCCTCTTCTGGTATCTTTTTATATCTATGGCCTTAAGGGCACTTTTTTCCCAGGCATAACGAGTTATATTATTGATCCCAAAGATGGAATTAGAGCAGTTAGATGAGATTTGGGAATATGATACATTTATGATTTGTTTAATAACATGAACCCTATTATCCACCAAGATATCCTATACTGATAGAATAGTAGATCGGATTAGTGTAAAATGGAATTTTATATGTCAAGCCCCAAATGATTGCAAAGTCACTTTGAAAACTTCCTATTTCCTTTGCTGGCATTTATTTATTATTATTAATTTTTCCCCTTCTACAATGTTGATTTCTTTATTGCTTTCCATAAACCTCAAGCTAAATCAATATGTATTTAGTTATATATTTATTTGTATATGGCAAAATAGAATAGAAATTTCCTTTGTATGTGAAAACTACTTGTTTTATTCTAAACACTAAATACATAATGATTATAAAATACAGAAAGAGTGGACAGGCTGGGTATAGGGAAATAGAATTAAGAGAGGAGAAATATTGACTTTTAAATGCTTCGACATAACCTGTTGAACAAGGATGTGGATCAGCATCTATCTTAATGTGAGAAGGGAAACATTTGAAGGAGTTACTCATAGCATTAGTGGCTGGTTTGTCCTGGAAGAAGACATCTCTGCTCTAGAATAGCACCTCTGCCGGCTTCCCAGCTGTTCCCATGTAACTTAGGATTTGGAGTTTATCTGTGGTTAGTTAGATAGCTTAGAATTCAGTCATTATTATACACATGAAATAAAATTATGAAAATACCTGAATTTAGAAGGGGATTGGGATTTTCAGTTCAGTGTGTTGAAATAACACCATTAGAGCATCCAGGTTGATTCCATGGAGATTGTGTTCAACTCTATCACTGTCAGGGTGGTGAACTAATCATGGGAAAGATGAAAGAGCCACATGATCTTGTATTAATAAGATTTTAACCTATTAAGGTTACAATATGATTCACCTTAAAAGCATGTATTAGACATCTACTGTATGCCCACTGCTATACTAGCTTTTTAGAGGATATGTGTTTTATTTTTAAGGAAAAGATAATCCTTTGTCTTAAAATACAGTTTTTTATTTAGCAGAAAAGCATACATATATCTGAGCTTCCCAGGTGACACTAGTGGTAAAGAACCCTCCTGCCAATGCAAGAAACAGACGTGGGTTATATCCCTGGGTCAGAAGACCCCTGGAAAAGGAAATGACAGACCACTCCAGTGGGCTTGAGAATTCCATGGACAGAGGAGCCTGGCAGGCTACAGTCCGTAGGATCACAAAGGGTTGGACACAACTGAAGCGACTTAGCACATATGCACACATACATGTGTATATATATATATAATGTGGAGAAGCTGTAGAGACTTAGTAAATTTGCAGTAAACCTAGAAACAAGGACAAGGCAATATTAACAGTATAATACAGATTATGTATATAAAAGGTCACTGAATTCAGAGAAATATTGTTATGGAATATGGTTAGTGAGGGAAGTTATCATAAATGTCAGGCCTGTTGGAATTGTTTAGGATTTAGCTTAATGAAGAGGAAAGCAGTTGGCATTTCAGAAATGTTAAATGACCTGACCAAATATCCAGAAGATGGTCCCAGATGAATGTATGTGGACACATGAGAATACTGGTCTTTTCATCAACTAGTGATAATAGCAGTGATAATTACAGTAACAGAGATCAAATACTCTCTGTGAATCATGAACCATCATAGTAGTTACACAAAGCTGTTAAAATTTAATTAGAAGAGACTATGTCTGTTAATTTTGTTATGACCGTATAAGATTGGTCATATTATTTTCTCCATTCTCTGTACCAAGAAGCTGTTGTTCAATGAATAGCTTGCTCAGGTAATGTTTCTTATGCTGACTGAGATGACATTTATATTAATTGAAGTCTACCGAATCTTGAAGCCATTTTTTTTTAAACTGAGATTTACTGCAACAAAGCAATAACTCATATTCATTATAATTTTAGCTTGATTTATTAGTTCTTAGGAAGGAAATCATCATTATGAGATGATGATTAGAATGATCAACTGATATAATATTTGGATCATTTTAAAATGTAATTTTCCAGATTATGAAGTCCTTCTATTTTAAAAAGCAAATGGGATAGAAGAAATCTTTTACCCTAATTTTAAATTTGAAAAAGTGGTTTATTTGAAGTAAATGAGCTGGTGGTTATTTTTTCAATACATATATATTATTATGGAATTCATTTGTGATATATTAAGAAAAAAAAACCCTGGTGATTTAAACATTACCTTTTCCTGAATTTATCGACAATTATTTCTTAAACCACACTGTGTTATACTTATATTATTCTTTACCTTTGTGAAAAGTAGTTTTACTCCACTGGCTTCTCTAGAGAGTTTCTGTTTGTGGTTCACTTTGCTTTGTTTATGTTTTGTCTTGTTTTTGAAGAGCTGGAAGAGGATGAGCCTGAAGGGAGTTCTGATAAAATCTTTTTGTCCTAAAATCAAGTTTTTTGATGACCTGTTCCTTCACAGCTCACTTACTACTCCCAGTATTGAAGAATTCTTGGCATTTGCTTTATTTATTCCTGTTTAGTTTCTTTATTTCCAAGTTCATATAATTCAAGCTTATAGAAATGCATGATAAAATTTGATGAACTGTATTAAAATATGAAGAGTGGTGATAATTTATCCATTTTTATCTGTTTCTTTGAACAGAAAAATATTTCATATAATGGATAAAATTTATAATAACTTCTGAAAAATTAGTTTCTCTTGAATAACACTCTTCTTTATCATATTTATTTCCTCATTTTTTTTGCTATTATCTCTCTAGGTAAAAATCAGCCTGTGTGTGTGTGTGTATATATATATACATATATATATATATATATAGAGAGAGAGAGAGAGAGAGAGTTATATATATATATGTGAAAGAAAGTAAAGTGAAGTTGCTCAGTCGTGTCTGACTCTTTGCGACCCTATGGACTGTAGCCCACCATTCCCCTCCATCCATGGGATTCTCCAGGCAAGAATACTGGAGTGGGTTGCCATGTCCTTCTCCAGGGGATCTTCCCGACCCAGGGATCGAACCTGGGTATCCCACATTGCAGGCAGACTCTTTTACCGTCTGAGGCACCAGGGGATTCCCACACACACACGCACACACACATACACACACACACATATGTATAAACTTGAGTATAAAAAGTTCATTAAAATGAACACTGATGGATACTGGAAGAGATAAACTTACCCTAATTCCCAGTTTCTTTTGATGTTTGACTAGCTTTGCTTAAATTGCTAAGATTATTTTATAGATTGATAGGAGGAAATAGACAAAAGCTTTGGGATATCAAATAATTTCTGTGTTTTTATGGAGTTTCTTATCTGGCTCTTTCCACTGTGGTTCTAACCTGAGCACAGAACCCTCTTTGAAGTCAAAGAGTTTCAGATTTAGATCAGCTTCCCTCAGTGCCAGATCGCAAAAGGAGAGTGGTCCTATAATACAGAAGATGAGCAAATTAAAACATCAGTGCTTGAAAGATATTAGTTCCAAGCCTGGGCCCTATTCTCCTTTTATATGAAAATAAAATGGAACAGCTGGATAATGCTGAGCTAAATTCAGGGATAAGACGTGTCTGATATTTCTTTCTCATAGATAGAATCTTAAGGTTCTGAGTCTGTATAATGTAATGGCTGTATTTTAATTTCAGCTATGGTTGAAAATACGACTTCACATTATAATCATGGCCCTGGACAGGAGGGGTGTCTCCTTGATTGTTGCTCCCATGGCTTTTTGAGCAACATGTGTATTGTTGGAGACCTTTCTTTTCGCCTTGGGGAAGCCTGAATATCAGAAAACTAATCCACAGAGTTGTATTTGGGCTTCTAATATATTTGGCCTTCACTTATAGTTGATATTTTTTTCCTAGTGGGTATCATGGCATTCTATATGGAAATTTGGGATGGTCATTATATCAAAAACTCATTCATTTTGCTCCTCACTGATGATGGTCTAGAGCTCTGTGAGGGTCCAGTGGTGTGGCTGCCCTGGCTTGAATGCTGTCTAGGCACAGAGTTTATTTAGATAATCATTTGGGAGCTTTTTCATATTTCCTGAACTTTGATAAAACTGATGTTTTATTATAAATAATAATATAATATAATATAATATAATAATATATATAATCTAATATAATAATATAGATAATAAAATATAGATAATAAAATATATATTATATATAACATAATATAACATAATATAATAATATTATAAATATTATAATATTATAAATACTGGGAATGGCCACAGTAGAAAATTTGGCAAATACAGAGATGTAGACCCAAAAAATTGATGCTTTCGAACTGTGTTGTTG